GGAAGAAAGAGAGTAGCACATACAAAAACAAATAAACACTTTTCTCTACTATATGCATGATTACTCTCACCGCACAGTCTCTCAGTGGTGTGTTTTTCTGTTTAAACACACACAGTTTCTACTTTACTTATGACTTCTGGCTCATCTCACTCCCACTCAACAGAAATTCGTCATGCTCTGTGAGAGGGCAGATTCTGCAACCTTTGATTCATAAATTATTTCCAGTCAACTTCTCTCTCTGAGAGTTTTTAATTCATCACCACTTCTTTCCCCAGCCATATTCAGAGTCAGCCATCAATCCATCATCCACTCATTCATCTATCTATCTATCTATCTATCTATCTATCTATCTATCTATCTGTCTGCATGTCATTCCATCCATCCAGTCTGTCTGTCTGTCTGTCTGAATATGAATGCAAAGCCTCATGTATATTTCTTTGTCTTGTACACAGGACACCTGCAATGATTGGTTGCTCCTTTGTAGTGGATCGTGAGCATTTTGGAGAAATTGGACTGCTTGACCCAGGCATGGAGGTCTATGGAGGAGAGAACATTGAATTGGGTATGAGGGTAAGTAAGATCCTTTGTAAACTCATGTCATTATTTGCCTTAGATGAGTGAAGTATGGTGATGTAAACATTTGCACATAAAAACATTTTAAGTTGTAGTAGAGACAAATAAGTGTCTGCCTGGTTAATTTTGTTTAGTTGAGACATTCAAAGTCCAGTGTATTCACGTAATTGGAATCCATTGAGCATGGAGCTGTTTTAGCATATGAGACCCTCCAGAAATTACAATTCACGATTGTTGCCACTCTCTCTGTAAATTCACAGGTGACATTATAATTAACTCTATTTACAAAGCTTCAGAATTTGACATACATTTAATTACATTTCTTCTAGGCATCATACTAGAGACTGTCGGGGGGTAAACGTGCAGATTTCCCCTCCATCAAGGAGTAAATGCGTTGCCCAAAGGAAATGAAAGTACTCAGTGCCAAATTACACAAGCTCGAATGCTTTAAAGGCAGTAGGGTACAAAGAAAGTAGATTCCTGCAGCTGCAGCCCTGAGAGAAATTTCATGGGCCACATGGTCTGTGAGCCAATGGAGAATTGAACTTGTTTCAATTCAGAAGCTGTTCTTTCTGTGGGGTGTCGAATATCCTTGGAAGATTAGCATAATTTGGATAAAAATCTTTAATTAATTTTAAAGATTCATTGCCAATGTTGGTTGACAGAATTGTCTTTTCAGCCTGATTATAGATTGAATTATGGAGACGAATAGTACTGTTTGAAACGTCTGATTGGAGACTGTTTCAATTGTCTGTTTGTTAAGTCTCAGTGACAGTTGATACAAAAGCAGACTGAGTCACTTGTAGTTTTCTTTGCAATTAGACTTTTTATTTGAAATACAAATTGTTCATATATTTACCAATATTTCACGGACCTCTTTTGAGAAGAGTCTTACAGTTTTATATTGTAACACGCTTTTGGACCCCAGTTTGAAATCACCTGTTCTAGTGGACTTAAAGGAATAGTTCACCCAAAAATGAAAATTTTCTGAAAATGTACTCACCCTCAGACCATCTAAGATGTAGATGAGTTTGTTTCTTCATTGAAACAGATTTGGAGTAATTTAGCATTGCACCACTTGCTCACCAGTGGATCCTCTGCAGTGAATGGGTGCCATCAGAATAAAAGACCAGACAGCTGATAAAAACATTACAATAATCCACAAGTAATCCACACCACTCCAGTCCATTAATTAACACATTGTGAAGTAAAAAGCTGCATGTTTGTAAGAAATATATCATGGACCACTTTTTAATTTTGAGGTGAACTATTAGAAAAAAAAAAAGTGAAAATTATGTCATTATTTGCTCACACTCATGTTGAGTAAACTATACCTTTAAGTAAAAAGTGGCACAGGCTTACCCCACTCTATCCTATATTAGTGTAAGCATGTGATCTGCATGTGTCCTCATCTTTTGCATGAGTCTTGCTGACTGTTCAATGTGAGTTCCATTTGTTCCTTCATTACATGCTGCAGAAGGTTTCTTGTAACAGAAAAAATGACAGAATTACCAATTTAGCAAATACGTCAAATTCCCAGCTTTGAAATAAACCAAATGCTTATTGATGCTGAACACAGTGATGGAACATATGATCCATCTCAGCCTCTGGTTAATCCTCCAAAGCTGATGCAGCTCATTCAGGAGGGATATCTTTGACTGACAGCTACATGTTTAATAATTAACCTTATGCCACACCAAATAGACAACATTAGTCCTCTCTGTAAAGAGATTCAGAAGCGGGGAGTCAAGAGAGGACATTGTGGAGCAATAGGCTCTGGTTAAATAGGTTATATGAAGACTAAAAAACATTAGAAGAAATGTGCAGCGGTATGATGGGAGTTTAATTTGTGTGAGGTTCTACCAAATGCCCATGAGGGAAATTAAAACTGATGCAAAGTGGCTCAGAAAGAGCTGAATTAACACTTACAGCCCAAAGTAATTGCATTTAGTGCATATCAGTTAAATTTTATCCTGAAGTGACATTTTGCTGTTTTACCAATGCAAGTAGGAGTTCATAGGCTGGGGGAGGGTGATTTTATAGCATAAGGATTATTAACAAATTTGTTTACTTTCTTTTCCAACTACAGATTTTTGGACCTCTGGAGTTTAATTTACATTTATGAATTGAGCAGATGCTGTTATCTTAGTAACAGTATTGAACTTGCAGTGTATGAAGATGCAGTGCTGCATAAAAAGCTGTAGTAAGCTGTAGTATGTTGTACTTTAGTTTGATAAACATCTGACTTTCGAAATTAATGTTACAGGAATCCATTAATTATGTTTAACTGTTAATTTGTTTAACACCGTTTTAATGCTGAAAAAATATAGACTCTTTATTTATTTTATTATTTTACTGTTTACTTCATAGAAGCTTTTACTTGAGATATACAGTATATATAGTAATATATATATACAGTCAAACTAATTTATTCAGGCACCTTCAACATTTCACACATTATCACAGATTATCCGCTGTAGTTTAGAAAATGGTAATAAAATATGACAAGACCTCAGATTTAAACTGTGTCAGAACAAATTCATCTTGATAATGTCAGATAATTTTTGGTCCCAGATCTTTATAAATTTTACTGGTAGTGCACTGTATGAAGAATTTTTGGGTATAATATGTCACAGTTTATTTTATTTTGCTATCCTCACTTACATAAATTAACTATAGTGTCCTGTACCCACTTGTAAAAAAATATAAAAAATTATATCTGGTGTCTGAATAATTTTTGATTTGACTGTATATGTGTGTGTGTGTATGTATATATATATATATATATATATATATATATATATATATACAAACACACACAACATATTTTTATTATTTTATTATTTGGTTTGTCCATTTAGTCTATTGACAGCCCTAATAAACATTGAAATAGTATATTATATATTATATCTCAAGTGTAAGATGAATGGTGTTCCTTATGCTTTTTACCCAGAAATGAATTTAATTATGAAAAATGAGGGATTGGAGATGCTTTTCTGTGTGTTGTACATGGGTTCCACAATATCTTTTTCAAAGGCTTTTAAAAAGTGGTGGGGACAAACTCGCAATTTGGCAAAAAGTTGTGGGAACATGTCCCACATGCAAATATTCTCTAATAAACGTTCTAACTATTTTTCTTTACTATTTAGTACTAATTAAATATTTAATTAATTAAATATTTTAATAACCTATACATTTATTTTATATTTACAGAAATATTTTATTAAAAAGGAGCACTGTACTTTCATAAAATGGGCTTTTCATATAGTCATTTTTATTTTATTCAGGTCTGATTAAACTAATAGCGATGAACACATTGAGCAAGACTCTGTTGCTCAGATACAGATCTGATTCTGCAGAACCTTTTCTAATCATTCAAAGGACTTAATGAGATGGATTTCTTGTAGAATCAGATGTAAAGCAAAACCTGAACAGAGGCTAAAGCAGTATGTCAGATCTCCAGTGACTTTTGTCCTTGCTTCAAACCTTCCAAAAGGGAGCAGTTTTTTTCATTATGTCTATGAGTCTATGAGGCGAGCGGGTCTTTTCCATCTGCGGTTGCTTCACTTCACACCCACACGCACACATGTGTACCCTGAAAGGCGAATACAAAATACACCTGTGAAGGGAGAGAATGAAGATGGCCTTTGGATCATGTTGGCGAATAGTAAAGCTTTAAAATCTTTCTGAGCAGCATCTTTGCTCGAGGTTGTATTGTACATTCACAATTGGTTTGCCCTTTGGTCAATCAAATGCAGCTTTAATGGACTCAAAGTCATATATTTTGTCCTATTGATATGCACTATGGGAAGCTGCTCGATGACTGAGCATCTGTCTCTCTTTGCTTTATGTAGATAGATGGAATTCATTTGCATGACTAACTAGTGACTAACTGCATGGATCAGTGCAGCTTTTCTCTTTAATTGGGTTATTGGGGGAATATGTTTATTAGTTGCTTTAGAAAATTGGCTGAGACACTAAGACAGAAAGCTTTCTTTGGGAGGTCATTCCCCTGTCTGTGTGGATCATATTCAAGAAGATCAGCAGACTCTGAAATGTTTACAAGCTCAGATCTCAGCAAGGATCACAGACATTTCAAGGTAGTATCACAACCAATCTGATATAACCATCTGGAGGACAAAGAAACTCATCATAACTGGAACGTAATCTAATTTGTTTAAAAGGGTCATGTCATGACAAATAACTTTTTAGTCTTTTGAACACAAACCTCCCAAAAACATCAGAAACTTAGCTGCATAAAGGGCTCATTTTAAACGTAGGTCATTTTGAAAAATTTATTTTTATATATTTTAGGAAATTTTGAACAAGATTCCTCAGCACATCATGGATTTTAACCATTTTTGCAGCACATTTTAAACACATTTTCTCATAACAGTAGCTTTGCAAAGAGCTTGTTAATGAAGGATGGGGAACTGCAAACTATATTGGACCCGACAGTAAACTCACAATCCATTAGTAAGAGCAGCTACTCATTTCAAATGAAAGAAAATTGTTTATATAGAAGTCTATAGTATTTTTTTTTTCCTCATTAAAAAAGTTTTGCCCCATAGAAATTTCAAGATGATTGCCGATTACAGCAGAGGATTACAGATGAGATTATTCATGATTACAGCAGCAAAAATGTTCAGTTTAATTCAAACATTATCTTATCACTTTATGTTCATATTCTCTTCCCTATTTCATTTTTTTAATTTTCTGTTTTATTTTCTTATTATCTTATTTCTATTTAATTATCTTTTATTTCTATTTCTATTTCTACTTTTGTTTTTTTTCTGTGAATGCTTTTGTGTTTTTTCTTTGGCTAAGCACTTTGTATACATTATTTTAAAAGGTGTTTGAATTAATTAAGTTTAGGTGTACCCCAGGGGGGAAAAAATCTGCTAAAGTCGTATAATGAAGATATTGCTTGACAGCTGACAAAATTAATAATACGGCACAGAAAGCTTGTAAAAACCTGAGTCAAGGAGATGTTTGTT